TTTTAAACTTTGAAAAATTCAAAGGTGTCATTATGTGGCAGGTAGAATTCTAAGATGACACCCCATCCTTTTAAAATGCCTTTCCCTTGGAAGGTTGGTGGCATCAGTGAATGAGGGGTGATCTGACTCCATGATGAGGTCACGTTAGGTGGCGCAGCTGACTCTCAGCTACAAGGGGCATCCCGTGTGGGGCCAGCTTCAGAATGAGTCACTGAAGGTTGAGTTTCTCAAAGTTCAGAGTCAAATGGTGGTTGCCAGAGGCTGGGAAAGGAGAAGGGCAGAAGGGGTGGGGAGAGGTGATCTAAGTGACACTGCCACAGTAGTGAGAAGTTTTGGGGTGCCGCTGCAGTAGCACTTGGGTCACTATAGATAAGTGTAATACAGATTTCAAAAAGCTAGAAGAAAGGCATTTTAATGTTTTCATCATAAAGAAATGGCGAATTAACAAATGTTTAAGGAGAGAGATAGGCTTACCTTTCCTAGAACATGACAGTGTGTACATACGCTGAAGCATTGCACGGTACCTCATCTGTAGGTACGATCTTTATGCCACATTAAAAGTTCAAGCAAACAAAACCAAACAAGTTGAGTTTTCTGAAGCTGAAGGCAGAAGGAAAACCAGTGGGTAAAAGCACAAGGTGAAGAAGACTTGTCCTTGCTGGCTTGAAGGTGTAGGGGAAGGATCGGCAGGCTGTGTTCAAGACCAGAGGGCAGCACCCCATTGGCGATCAGGGAGGACACAGGCCGTGAGGAGGCACAAGCAAGTGCATTTGGCCAGTGTAACTTCGAAGCTGATTTGAGCTCAATTTAGCCACTATCTTTTTTTTTGTTGTTGTTTAATTAAAAAAAATATGTATTTATTTATTTGGTACAGGATCTTGCTGTGCAGCTTGGACTCATAGTGACCCTCCTGTCAGTGTCTCCAGTGCTGGGATTACATGTGTGTGTCACCACGCCTGGTTTCGATGGCCGGCTTGTCACAGGGCCCGCACAGCATGCATACTGGGAATCGAACCTGGGTCCTTGTGCTTGTCAGGCAGGCGCTTAGACTGCAGAGCTATTTCCCCAGCACTTCACCACCATCTTGACATCAGCTTTGCGGTACTTGGAGCAGAGAACCTGGCTTGGCCAAGCGGAGCTTGTGCGCTGCGGAGCTGGATGCTACTTAGTGGGTCTTGGGGCCTGAGAGTGTGTGATCACTTTGCCATACAACAACAGAAAGCTGAAACATGCTTTTAGTGTCCTAACTGAGCAAAACAGAATTGCATATTATATTCCATAGATATTCACTAAGAAAACATTAGTAATTGAACAACCCCCCCAAAACTGAAAATGACTTTATCACCAGTAAAGCCATAATGTCAGCTGAACTTCTTGGCCTATTATTAACACTGAAAAAAATTTAACCAAAGTTTAAATTAAAAAAAAATCTGTCTTGCTCATATTATATTTATTAAGTTGCTGAAAATAGGTTTATTATAGGAGCGGCGCTTGTATAAAGCGTTATAGGGATCATCTGAAGTGTAGAAGCACCCAGACACACATTTCATGTACCCCAGGGTTACATTTTAGTTTTAAGACACCCTAATTGAGCTAGGGAAGATATTTTACAAGCTAAGGCTTGTAATAATCATCAGAAGAACTTACAGGTGAAATATCTTTGTATAAATTAGCATTACAAGGACTCTATATTCATGTCAGTGCAGAAAAAACAATACATTCCTGGGTTTCAAAACTTAACAATTTGGGCATCTGCTGTGGGTTATACCCCGCAAAGTGTATATTATACATTACTATATTGAAAATTCCAAGAAGTGATCTATTTAATTATTATTATTATTATGGCTTGTATCTAGTTGTCCCCCCAAAGTCTCATGCAGTCACGGGGCGGGCTTCTAGGGTTTGTGATTAACTCATGATTCGCTGGGATTATGGGTGTCAGTGCTACATCCTGCCTGGGGTAGACAGCCTGAACGCAACATGAGGGACACAGACTTGCTCTTTGTAGCTATTGGGGTTTTTTTTTTGACAGAACTGGGGATTGAACTCAGGCCCTCGCGCTTGCCAGGGAGCCATTTCCCCTGCCCATTTGTAGCTATTGTTGCTGCTACTTCTCCCTTTTGATTTTGCCGCTTTCCTGCCTTCTGACACCATGCACTGCTGCCCTCTGTCATGCGCCACTCTGTCTTGGAGACAGCTGAGTACCGACTGAAACCTCCAGTAACCATGAGCTAAATAAACTTTTTTTCCCCCCTTCATTTTGAGTGACAGGTATTTGTCTTAGCAATGAGAGAAGGGTAACTGAGACAATTATTATTTTTGAGACAGGGTCTCACTATGCAGTTCAGGCTGGCCTTGAGCTCATTTGTAGCCAGGCTGGTCTCAAGCTTGAAATGATCCTCCTGCCTCAGTCTTCCGAGTGCTGAGATTACAGGCATGAGCCACCAACTCTGGCTTTTTAAATTAGTTTTGACATAAAATGCCTTAAATGTATGTATGTATGTATGTATGTATGTATGTATGTATGTATATATTTATTGTATTTTAGTAAGGGCCTACAGGGTCTCACTACATAGATCAGACTTGTAGTGATTCACCTGTGTTCAGCCTCCCAAGAGCTGGGATTACAGTCCTGTGCCACCACCACGCCCAGTGTCAATCGCCATCTCATCGTGCTGCCAGGGGCAGGGCTGGCATGACACACCAAGGATCGAACCTAGGCCGATGCGTCTGCCTAAGCAGGTGCTTTAATCCGCTGAGCTATTTGGCCCTTCCTAAATGTATTTATCATGGAATCTTTTCTTTGAATAACAACTTTTAACACCTCTTTGGAACATTATTTGGGAAATGCTGACCTAAACAAATTTCTCCTTTCTCCAGACCAAATATTGAATCAAAATATTAACAGGAAAAAAATATTTCAAGAAACAGAATTGATTAGACACTCAGGGACTAGGAAAGTATTTTTCCTTTTTCTTTATTGGCTGCAGCAATGTTTTACTAAATTTTTTTTTACTAGTCAATAAATTAAAATATGATTTTTAACAATAACTTTAATGATATGCCTGTACAACAAAGTTAATGTCCCAAGGCATTTTCTAGAATACTTTCAATCTATTTGTGCATTACTGCAATGGATATTTTTCAAACTGGGATGTGGCACTGTCATCTAATGTTTTACAACTGAAAGCAGAAAACGTACGAGTCACACATTTTTTAAAGAAAAATATTTCTAGTCCATGTTAAGAAGGAGAGTAGTACAATGGGACCAGAATTTTAGACTAGGATACTTGTGCTTTTCTTTCTTTCTTTCTTTCTTTCTTTCTTTCTTTCTTTCTTTCTTTCATGAGGCAGCAAGGGTCTCACTATTTAGCTCAAATTTGCCTCAAACTCACGGGAATCCTCCTGCTTCAGCCTCCCAAGTGCTGGGACTCTAGGCATGTGCCATCACACCTGGCTACTTGTACTTTTAAATATGCTCAACTCAGTCCATGTATATAAAGTATAAAGACAAACATTCTTATTGAATTTGAAGTAGTTATGATATACTTCTGAAAGAGTAATAACCTTCAGATATTATATAAATAGTTGTTTTAGTGCTGCTGGATGGCTCTGTAAAGCCCAGATTGCTGGGGCCTACTCCAGAGTTTGTGACCATGCAAACTGCTCTTGGGTGACACTGAAGCTGCTGGTCCAGGAAGTCCACCGTGAGAGCCACTGAGAATCTGGTTCTTGTCCAACCTCTTGGTGGTTCCTCCTGGGCAGGTCTGGGGAAAGCTTCTCAGGTAGGTTCCAGGTTTGCAATCTTTGGGAGCTCTGATGTTGGGATTTGAGATTTCATTCTTTTACTATCCTTGTTTTGGTTCCACAGCTCAAATCCTTTGTAGCTTTCCCCACGGGTATCTCAGCATACAAAAGAAAACCAGAACGCTGGGCAACAAAGTGGAGGGCAGAAATGTGCATAAGTCGCTTTATAGCTCACTGGCAGCCTTTGCAGAAGCCAAGCTGGAACCTGACCATACTCAGGTTTCTCTCCTGCAATGTGGAAAACCCAACTGGCTAAGTTGCCGGTTAGTGCAATGAGAGAAAGCCCAGAAGACTGCAACTCCTCTGTAACTTCTTTAGCTTGTTCTTCCAACTGCCCTCAGAATTTGATTAGTCATTTGTGACTTTAAGACTTGATTGAGATGATCTATAGAGCCATCCTGGCCTAAGTGGTCAGGAGTACACTGCTGGCACTAAGTACACTGAAGCCCAAGCTTTGCCACTATATATAGTATATATATATAGTATATATTTATATCTCTATCCATCTATCTATCTATCTATCTATCTATCTATCTATCTATATCTGCTGTTGGATGTCCAGAAAAAACGCAAGGAAAGCATTTAGCTTAGTGCCTGGCACTGAGGAAGGGTCAGTCAATAGCACATAACTCTGACTCTCATGATATGACTTTGAAAGTCTTAGAAGACCATGTCAATTAATTTCAATGCATGAATAGTAAGGATTATTCCACAACACTCTTCAATAAAATAGCTAGAACTGTCCATTCAACTTAGAAAACTTTTACATTCAACTTGGAAAACAGCATCTTTCACCTTCATGAACATAATCTAAATAAAAACCACCAAATACAGATGCTACCTGACTTACAATGGAGTTACAGCTAATAATGCCATTGTCAGCTGAAAATCCTATAAATTGAAAAAATAATACATTTTATAGATCTAATCTGTTGAACATCATAACAGCCTAATTTACCTTAAACATGTTCAGAAGGGGCCGGGGAGATAGTTCAGTAGAATATAGTGCTTGCCTGGCAATCGCAAGGGCCTGAGTTCAATCCCCGGTTCTGAAAACAAACAAACAAAAAAAACATGTTCAGAATACAACATTGGCTGTCACCAGGCAAAGCCATGAACACAAAGCCTATTTCATGATAAAGTGCCGAATAACTCACCTAATGTATTGGCCATATGGCACTCAGGGTACTTACTGGCTGTCTCTGCTGGTGGTCATGGGCTAGAGCCAGGGCTCTGCTGCTGGGGTAGCATCTGAGTGCGGATCCTTAGCGTTGGAAAAGATCAACACTTCAGACCTGACATACAGTTTCTATTGAGTTTGTATCACTTTCATAGCGAGGATAAAGTTGAAAAACTTTAAGCTGAATTGCTGTAAGTCCGCGTCTGTCCGTATCATCAAGAGTAAGACCACATGGTATTCCACTACAAGAGAAGAAAATGCTGCCAGTCAAGCTAAGTGGCCATGCTTTCTTATCATTTAAAACTTTTTTTTTTTTTTTTTTTTTTGATGGAACCAGGGATTGAACTCAGATCCTTGAGTTTGCCAGTCAAGCGCTTATCCTACTGAGCCATCTCCCCGGCCCCTGTTTTATCTTTTTTGAAACTGCTCTTTTAGATTTAGGTTTTGGAAACATTTGCTACTCTTTTTCATACACATACACACACACACACAAAATCTAGGCAAAATAAACAGATTGGAAATATTCCTCATTTGTCTTCATGTTCTGAGTCCAGCCTTCTGAATTTCTGGGTGGACCCAGTGTCCTTGTCACTGCTTCTTCACTCAGTGTCGTTCTTTGGGCCACGCAGGCCTCTGTGATCGAGAACTTCGTACCACAGTCTGTGAGTCCTTAGTGCTTTGGAGGCTGTGCTTTTTGCTTGTCTATTGTTTATTCCTGCCTCAAAGATACAGCCAACCATGTGATGACTTGTCACTCTCTCCACTCTTTCCCACCAATACTTACTTCGTAAGGATTAAAGCACTGTCTTGCTCTTCTGGCCTGGAACCTCCTATGTGCACCAAGCTGGCCTCAAATTCTTCATCCTCCTGCTTCATCCTTACAGATGTGTGCCATCATGTCAAGTTTCCTTCTGGGATTATTTTCTAGGCAACAATCCCATTTCCAAATTCAAACACAGCATGTCTGATGTTCATAGGTGTGCAGGTAACGACAATGGTGGCCTGGCCAATAGGCTTTGCAATATCCTTGATCAGATCCTGAACTTCTGATCTTGGTAATAAATTTATTGAGTCCTGAATTAATTGGTTCTAGAGTTCAGCTCTGTTTGGTTATTTGCAGAAAATAGTGTCATTAATAATGGTCTTTGAACTGCATTTACTATTTTTCCAGGATAGCTTTGTTGAGATAAAGCTTACCTACTATAGTTTACCCACTTACAGAACACAATTCAGTGATATTTATGTACACATAAATGTTGAAAAATTCACAGAGTTAGTACAACTTCATCATTCCAAAAGGAAATCCTGAAACCATTAATTTAGTATCCACTTCTTTCCCCAGTTTTCCCCTTAGCAACTGTTAATCTACTTTTTCACTCCATGCATTTTGCCTATTCTGGATATTCCTTACATAACAGTTTTTTTTTTTTTTTATACTGGGAATCAAACTCAGGACCTTACATTTTCTAGGCAGAGCTATATTCCTGGCCTAATAGTTCCCTTTTCCTCTCCTTCTCCTCTTCTTCCTCCTCCTTTTCCTCTTTCTCCTTCTCTTCCTCCTCTTCCTCCTTCTTCTATATGTGAGACAGGCTTTTACTATGCAGTTCAAGCTGGCTTGAATTCACTTTGTAGCCCAGGATGGTCTTGAACTCACAACCCTCCTGTCTCAGCCTCCTGAGTACTGGCATTATTGGTGTGTGTCACCACACCCAGCCATCACCCAATATTTCTTGTAAACAGAATCACAACAGGTAAACTTTGCGAATGGGTTTCTTTCATTTAGCATAATTTTCAGGGTCCATGTATGTTTCATCGTATAAGAGCATTTATACCCCCAATGCTGGCATATAAACATTCATGTATCCATTTTTGTGTAGCTATGTTTTTGCTTCTCCTGGGCACTTATCTAAGAGTCACGTTACATTTATTTATTTATTTTTTCCTTTTTCTTTTTGCCATGTTATATTTAACTTTAGAAGAACTGTCACACTGTACTGAGAATACAGTAGTACCACATACCAGAGCTGCAATTTTTCAACATTCTTGTTCAATGCTTGTTATTTTCTGTCTTTCTGATTAGAGCATTCCTAGTGGGTGAGAAGCAATATTTCATTTTGGTGTTGCCCTTGTGTTAAAGTGTTTTCACCTGCATTTTCTCATTTGAGCCTCACAGTATCTGTCAGCACTCCTTATTACCATCAAAGGAGTGACCATCAAGGCTGATTCTCCAGTTTGCTGAGGATAGCTGTTAGTGCTAGAATAGGAGTGAGTGCATCCTCGGGCATCAGGACTCTGAGGCCACTGCTGTCAGCCCGTGCCAGGCTATTCCAACATCACAGCAGCTGCCTAACTATAGCCGGGTGAATAATGATGATAGATTATTTAGGTAGAATATCAAATCAGGCAGACTTTCCACCAGGACACAGCACTTCAGGACCACCTCAGGCAATGTGACACTGCTCCTGACTTTCTGTAAGAGCTAGTGGCACTCTGTTGGTCTGCAGTAGCACAGGAAGGTGGGTCTTATTTAGGAAAAGGCCTTCTTAAATGTTGGGAAGTATTCCCCCCGCCCCCCCCAGAAACGGTAACTTAGAACAGAGACGTCAGCTTTGTCTTCACAGGCCACAGGAGGAGGCTGCACCAAGCAGGTCAGTGTCCTCTGGCACATGAGGGCCTGGTGTTTTAACACTGAAGAAGAATTTCCTAACTCTGCCTCTCTCTCAGTAGATTTAGATGTCAGCCACAGTTTGTAAGATGCATGCATTAATTTTCATACTTATGAGAGAATTAACTAATTTTTGATTATGCTTACATTTTTATTCATAAACTATGCCCCCTAAAATCAATATTTTTGAAATAATCTCTTTGGAAGTTAAGTGCTGTGGCACTACTTTATTCTCATCAAAGAAATTCTGCACAGTGCTCAACCCCAACTGAGCAAAGGCAAAGGCCTGGAAACAAAGCCTTTTCACCTCTGAAAATATGAACCATGAAATCTTGCTGAAATTGCAGAATGAAACAGGTTGACCAGTGTAGTAGTCTGTTTTGCCTTACTATAATGAAATACCTGAGGCTGGATAACTTTATAAAGGGAAGTTTTATTTGGTTTACAACCCTGGAGGTTCAAGGGCTCACACTGGGTAAAAGCCTTCTGGATGGAAGAGCACAAAAGCAGGACAGTACATCACAGGTAAGAGGCAGGGAGGCAGGTGTTCATGTGTGAATGCATGTGTGTATGCATGTGTGAATGCATGCATGCAAGCATCCTTTGGTCTCACTCCTTATAAGGTCACCAAAATCATGGTGGCTCCATCCTAATGACCTTATCTAATTCTTTTTACTTTTAAAATGTATTTAGTACAGGGTCTACAGGGTCTCACTACACAAATCGGACTCATAGTGATCCTCCTGTTTTCAGCCTCTCAAGTGCTGGGATTACAGGCGTGTGCCATGACATCCAGTCTCAATCAGTGCACCCTGAAAAGCAGGGCCAGGATGACACGCCAGGGATGGAACCCCACCTGCTGCACTCTGCCTAAGCAGGCGCTTTAGTATGCTGAGCTATCTGGCCGGCCCTACCTTTCCTAATTCTAATAATCTCCAGAGGACTCACCTGTAAATGTTGTAGCTGGATTAAGTTTTTATCCTATTCATACTTCACAATGGGGATGGAATGTCAACACAAGAATCCTCTGGGGAGACACTAGAACCATGTTCAAACTGTAGCAGTCAGCATGTGCTACATCTCTTGAAGCCAAGTTGTTTTTCTCTTCAGATTGTGCCCAAGGATGTGTTCCCACTTTTAGTACAACAACAAAACGGTGCTGCTGATAGGGCCTCTTCTGCAAGGGCTGGTGTGGTTGGAAGAAGCTGGTGTTCTCCTTGCATTTAAGATGTGTTAAGGTTATCTCCTGATCTTGCCTGCAGCAGCTGCTACTTATGGGGCTTGGCACTGCTTTTATTTCTTTTGGACTTGCTTTTGTTTTTAAATCGAATGTTAATACACAGCAGCAGCACAAAATCACATCTAACAATTTTTATTTTTTGTGTTTCATTTCTGAATCCTTGACTATACTTATAAAGTTATAATCAATGTGCATATACTATTTTGTGCTTTGCTTTATTAATGTTATAATAGTAATATGACATTACATTAATGTTATAATGTTAATTTTATCAACTTTGCACTTTATGTTGTTTTCACAAATGTTTTAGTGGCTGTTTCATATTTTGTCATATCTGTCAAACTTTTCCTAATTACCAGATGCTTTATTAGGATTCTCAAGAGAAACAGAATCAATAGCTTATTCATTCTTTTTTTTTTCTTTTTTTTTTTTTAGTATCAGGGATTGAACTCGAGACCTTGCGCTTGCCAGACAAGTGCTTATGCGGCTGAGTTATATCTCTGGTTCAATATCTTATTTGCATATATGTAGGGATTCATGTGACAACTAATGACTTTTTATTCAACAGTGGGCCATACATATGATGGTGATCTGTAAGATTACGCTGTCTGGTGACACAGTTCTCTCAGTTTCTGACAAGTGTGCTTTATGGTGTTCACACAAGAACAAAATTAGCTAAAAATGCATTTCTCAGAAGGTGTCCCATAGCTGGGAGACACATGGCTGTCTATACGGTGTCCTAGCATATCATGGCTGTAGATATGGTGGCCTCCGGGTTACATCTCCATGTACAAGGCCTCTTGCTCCTTTTTACTATTTTTCGGGCTCTTTTTCCTGGGAGAAGAAAACTTACATTTACTAAACACCTACTGCATACCACAGTCTAGCTATGAGTTATCCATTATTTCTCTAACTCCTTAAGATAATATATTTTTTTTTTTATTACATTTATTTATTGTGTGTGGGTGTGTGTGGCCAGCTCAGCCCACCAGGGGGCGGGGCTGGCTGGCATGTGGTGCTGGAGGATTGAACCGTGGTCCTTGTGCTTTGCCAAGCTTGTTTTAAGTAGGTGCTTTAGACCACTGAGCCATCTCTCCAGCCCAAGATAATATTTTTTAAATTCCCATTTTGTAAAGAAGAAATGAAAGCTGAGCAAAGTGAGAGAACAGTGGCCCTGAC